AAATAAATAAATAAATAAATAAATAAATAAATAAATAATAAGATGGAAGCCATTTACTCTTTAGGGAAAGCCAGAAAAACTATTTTGTTTCCTGAAATAAGATTTAACTCTTCTCCACACTTATTTGTTTTGCTAAAATAATTAGCTCCTGTGAACTCACTAATGCAGTAGTGGGATTCGCTTACCTTCCCTACTGATTTGTGAATGTGAGCGTCCATGCGCTCACATTTGCAATCCGGTAGGGAAGGTAAGTGCATGCGCAGAAGAGTGCGCATTTCATTGGGGTGGGTGGGCAGAGCCTCCTGCAGCTGCCCCTACTGGTTTGCCCGAACCAGAGAGAACCGGCTGAATACCACTTTTGCATTAATAGTAATGTGAGAAAAGAAAAGGAATTGGAAGCAAAACTGGAAAATGAGAGTTGAAGATAGAAAATCATATTATAAATTATTAATTACAAAATAGAAAGCAAATGATTTGATTTTTCAGTGTAAAGGTGATATACATATTATATTCATCCCTTGGGTAGCTAGAGGGTTTAGAAAAAGCAGACAAGATACAAATATACGTAAGTATTGGACCATCTGAGCTCTCTCATAGAATAAACTGCAGGCTTCATCCATTAAATGTGTTATTTTCTAGAGTTTCTTCTCAGTCATTCCAAGATTCTGCTTCTTAAGCATGTATGTACAAAGCAACGACATTGTTTACCTAGGAAGGAGCCACAACATGGTTCTATTCTGAAGATCTCTGTAACATACTGGATTAATGGCTCCAATCTGGAAAATAAATAAGACTCTTATGGTTAACTGAGCATGGGGTTTTTTCCCTCACCATCTGCAAAAAGTTTTAATTCAGTCTTGTTTAACTCAAATATCACTTGCCTCAAGGGAAATGACAGATGTGATTTGCAAGATATTCAGTTCTGGATTTTGACATGATGCTGTATGTACAGAAATGCATATGTTCTTGAACATTCAACAAAAATCTTGCCTACCCCTCTGCTCAATTGCATGTGATCCTCAGATGACTGAAACAAATCTCTTTTCCTTCCAGCTTCTCATGCTAGCCTACCAGAAAGTTCTTAAGTGCACTGTTTTCAAATAATATATTTATTTCTCCATTTTTTTTTTAAAAAAAAGAGAGAATAATGTCCTGCTGTGTGCGGTTTTCAGAAGGGCAGATAAATGAAAACTGCAAATACAATACTGGACATTTCATAATAACCTAATCAAGTTGCCCAAAATAATCACAGCTCCATCTTGTTGACACATGTTGACAGATAGGCATCAGGTTCCATTCTCATTTGTCTTATTATTTCTCTTAAAATTCTATTACCTTGCAAATTTTAACCATGAAAAATCAAGCCTCTTACCCACGTGTGTTGAGTGGGAGATGATGGAGGAATATTGAAAGCTTATGCAATCCTTCTGCAAGAGAAGGCAGCAATACACTGATTCCATGATCTGTTACTGTTTGAATTTGAACTGCAGTATCCCCAATTTTGACCTTCACATCAAATGGAGTATAGTTGGAAAATGAAGAAATACCTATCACAAGCAGCTGACCTCCTGCAATGAAGAAAAAACACAGACAATACTTTTTTTGTTATAGTTAGTAACCTGCTACTCTCATAACAACTCTTTTCCACAAACCCCAATATTCTGTTTTATTTCCACATTGAAAGGTTGACAATATGTTTGTGTTTTATATTTTTGCCTGAAATAAAACTATCTTCAGAGAAACCCATTTGGTTTTGCTTTTTATCTCCAAAAATACAGTTCTATAAGATAAGGGGAAGGTGATAAGCAGGACATTGAGGCAAAAAAAAAAAACCTGTCTGACAATTTAGCCTCAACACCTGGCAATCAAATGCATCGTGCTCTTGATAAAAATCTTGCAACAAATCTCAGTGGCTGTTATGTCTGGATTCGTTCTACCAATATGCAAGTTATGTGCTGCACTCAGAAAGTATTCAAGGTTAATACGGGATTTTCTTTACATTGACAGTGTCTCTCCTGTTTGCACTTGCAGCCTTGACAGGTATAATTGGATATTGGATAGCCTCCTCGATCTCTCAACCTTTTTCCTTCAATGATGCGCCTAAGCAAATCTGCCAATTGGAAGCATGACTAACAGCTAGGAATGTACTAAGCAAGCATGAATGTTTTATCTAGGTCTAGTTGAAAGGAAAACTCTGAAAAGGCTGCCTTTGAGATATTAATGAGAGAATCCTGAGGGTAGCACTTTTGGTATCAAAATTATCTTACCTACCCAACACGATGCCTCGTGAACAGAACAATTGTGATCTTTTTTTATTCTGAACCACTAAATTTTAACTACTTTTTTTGCCTAAATATGCAAAACACTTTCAAACAAGACATTGAAAGATATAAATATTGGAAAAATCAAATAAGAATAGAACAAAAAAACTTATCTCTCTCTTTTTACCTGTTATGCCACTTTGATTTCTGTTCATTGACACAATGCATGGATTTAGAGAAGAGGTATAGGTAAAAGCATTGGTAAAAGCAGTCAATCCATGTTCATTCATTAGGGTTAGATTAACAGTATCCTCTCCTCCTCTCTAGGAGGAAAAAAAATGACAAAATATTGATAACATGTCTGTTGTCCATGAAGTAAACTGGGCACCAAGATTATGTGGGGAAAGCCTACAATTTAAAAAAAAAAATCTTGCCGATCTTATTCTAAGGTTTTGAAATCAATCTGTCACCTGTTTCTGCTTCTTAGACCTGTTAGATCAACGAGAAGCAGCAGGCGAGAGGCACGAGTGAGTTTCAGCACTTTCAAGAGTAAGTGACTGCACTCTGGTGGCTGGGCTGCCGGAGTTCGTCTTTTAAGGAGTTCCGGCAGACCAGCTAGCCAATGACAGTTGTTTAAACTTCCCAGGGTTTGGGCAACCAATCCCGGGTGAGTATGTGAAAACATATAAATTTAACCACGTACGTCTGTACGTAACAAGACCTGCTATCCAAGGCACTCTGACATTGCAAACATTCTACTTTCAAAACAGTTTGTGGCCAACCTCAGCTCTTCTTCTTTCAGGTCTTAAAAAACAAGAGTAGCCAGCCAGCTGCCTAATAGGAAAAAGCACATGCAAAGACTAAACCAGGGGTCCCCAACCTTGGCAACCTTTAAGACTTTAAGCTTACTGGCTAGCGAATTCCTAGAGATAAAGTCCACTGATCTTAAAGTTACTATGGTTGACACCTCTGCACTAAAGACAGCCAAAGTGGTAGCTTGGAGGACACTAGCAAAGGGGATGCTGGGCTCCCTCTTTCCTATTCTTTGTTCTGTGACTTCAAGGAATAGGAACTGGGGCAGATAAACAGCATAGAGGGAGTGAGAAGCCACTAGTGCTACTGTACCACCTTGTTCTCCACTGCTCCCCCAACTAATCTTTTGACTCAGCAGCAGTAGCTCTCCCCTGCCATCTACCTCTTCTACCTTTCATTATTCAGAAAGCAAGAGAGTGAGAGTTAGATCACATGGAAAGAGTGGAGGCCTGATGGCTTCCCCTGTTTTGTTCTCACAAAGTTTAAGCCTGCTGCAGTGATGGGGAAGAAGTCATCTCTTCTCTTTCTCCCATCTCCTCTCCATTGTTACAGTCTAGGGAAGGCTTGGTGACTGAGCACTTTCACCAATAGACAGTTCCTTTTGGGCTCCAAGGGTTTATGCCTAGGAGTGTTCGAAGAATAGCACCCTACCATTGGCTCCTCCCATGCATATCCTGGTTCATGCTATATACATTTGCCCTGTGGTTCATCCTGGTCCTCATGGGGAAGGAGATACCAGCTGTAGCCCTATGTATTGCAGCTCAGCTACTGAGTGGGTTATGGAGAGTACAAAGGATGTGCAGTCAGGGGAGGCAGGGCCTCACCACTGTCATCATGAAAAGAAAAAAATGTAAAAGGAAAAAGGCTGAGGTAGTTGCTGCCAGAATCACAGTGGATGACTCTGCTTAGTGCTTAACTGTGTAAAAAAGCCTCTTAAAAATGCCTTCTACAGGGGGCAGCAGGAGAACGAGGTGCCTCATTTAGTCTGACTTTATGATCACTCAAGCAGAGCTAAGCAAGGGTTAAAAGCTGAAAAATTCCTTATGTAGATGAGGCACGTGGTTCTCTCGCCTCCCGTAGAGGGCGGATTTAGAGGCTTTTTAGAGGCTCTGGGATCAATTAGCTCAGTCTGACCTCAGAGCTCATGCCTTTCTCCTTTTACATTTTATTTCTTTTCATGAGGGCAGGCAAGAGCAGAGTTGAAATCCTCTCTGAAACATCTGGAAAAGGTCCGTGTGTGGGGAGGGGGGTGGAATTCAAAAAGTTTGATTGCATGCAGAGCCACATTGCCTTTTCAAAAACACACACACACACACACACACAGCTGGATAAAAGTATATAAGCCCAGCTTCACTGATGACAAATTTGAAAAGACAACGTGGCTCCACCTGCAATCAAAGGCTCAGATCGGAAGGCAGCAGGGGAAGGGGGAGTATGGCAGAGGAGCTGCTTTCAAGCCATTGGAAAATATATCCAATCCAACTTCTGTGTTTGTGTTTGTGTTTGTTTGAGAGAGTGAGTGAGAGAGGGATCCAACTTCTCTGTGTGCGTGTGTCTGTTTGAGAGAGGGGGGAGGGAGGGAGAGAGGAAGGAAGGAAGGAGGGGGAGGGAGAAGAAAAATAATGAAGGAAAACTTATTTCACAAGGGGGGGAAATGCTGTCGCTTTAAATCGGAACTGAGCATGCCTGTCTGTGGAATTCTGGGAGTTGAGGTCCCCAAGTCTAAAAAAATTTGAAACCCCTGTGTCAGTACCTCACCAGCCATAAACCTCACCGCACGTCACTGGAGAGTACAGAGAAACTGTCTTGTCCCAGGAGTTGGGGGACAAGAATGATGAGGGAAGTTCTCAGCCATGCAAATGAAAATATTCTACTCCTTCTTCTGGGACTGGTTCCAGACAGTGTTGGTGGGAGGAGAAGGTGTCTCTGTACCCTCTACATAAAGTTATTGAGAAAGGACATCTGATGGTGGAGTGAGTATGCTGATGATACTTGGTTTTATATCTCTACCCCAGGCCATCTAAGTGATGTTGTAGATAACCTGTCCCAATGCCTAGAGGCTGTGGGGGCCTGGATGGGATGCAACAGGCTGCAGCGCAATTCAAGCAAGACTGAGTAGCTTTGGATGTCTGAACATGCTGATGCCGGGGACCTTCCATCCTTGGTTCTGGATGCAGTGGTGCTACTTCAGAACGAACCTAGTACTCAATCTGGAGCTCCTGGATTTGTAAATCCAGCTTGAAGAGCAACCATGGTTCAGAGGATCTTTGCATTCTTCTGAATAAACAAATCCATTTGTTTATTCATTGATTTATCCACCCTTATGCTTCCTCCAGAGATCAGATTGATGCAGCCTTGTTGGCCTTTCATAAGGCCTAAAGACCTACTTCTGTGGTTGGATCAAGTTCAAACTCAATGCTGCTGAACATAGAAAATAGCATGAGATTACAGAGATTCAGAACAGATTTTGGAGCAGTAGAAAGTTCCCAGTGGAAGTTCAGTTAGTTTGTATGCTTGTCCATAACTGCATAAGATAGAATTTGGAGTTTCCAAATAAGAGTTGAAATTTCATTACAGTCATGGAGTAATTAAAATAGTACTGAATGAAATGCTGAAGGAGATATGTGACAACATGCTGAAATTGACAACTTCATATATTCAATTCCCACAATGTTTGTATCTTGACATTAGCGTTGTCTGTATTCTAGTTAATATTATTGTGGAATAATATACAATGTAATATAACAGGAACTCTATGCAGCTTTGTCGGTTCCAATTACACTTAATTAAACATACCCTAAATTCTTTTCTGAAGTAACTGATCAATTAGTTATATCAGCCAATTTTATTTATAATGAGGCACGTATTAGCTGTGCCATTATACCCTTCCTTATTATCTCTAATTACAACAGCATGTGCAACAATGAATAGGAACACATAGAAAGACAAATAACCAATTCAAATAAGCCTACATGCAATTAATTTCATATTCTCATAAGGAAAAATAATAATTCCAAAAGGGTAAATAAAACACAGACACTCTCTCTCTCTCTCTCTCTCTCTCTCTCTCTCTCTCTCTCTCTCTCCCTCCCTCCCTCCCTCCCTCCCTCCCTCTCCCCCTCTCCCCCTCTCTCACGTACACACACACACACACAATTTTATAGTCATCAAATCATCACAAATTAGGCTGAATTGTTATAGCCTTGCAATATAATTGAAGGTATTTTTTACTCAAGGAGGAAGCCTGCATTCCATTTTCACTGCACTGCTGGCATTGAAATTGATGGGACAAGTTTGAGAACCAAAGAGTACTGTGTTTATCCCATCTAAACCTGAACCTGTAAGTCCTCCTAAAATGTACAATGCAGGAATGAATGAAATAATTTAAATATATATAGTATACACACACATCATCATCATCATTTTCATTTACCCCATAATCCCTTGCTGGGGGAATCCACAGCTATAAAAGGAGCACATTCTAGAGAATAAATACATTACAAAAACAAGAGATTTATCTTGTTTTTCGTCCACAGTCTTATATATGGCTCAGAACCACAAATGTGATTTCCTAGAAAAAATAAAAATAAAAAAGTCCTAGGATTTCAATGCATTTGCTCATCTTTCAACTCACTCTGCCACTGGCATAGAGATAGTGTGTGTGTGTGTGTGTGTGTGTGTGTGTGTACGTACACACACACACACACACACACACACATACATATATACACTTATCAAAAATAAGTATGATTCAGACATATCTATCTCCAAAGCTGTTGAAGGATCAACAGAAGTTAATCTAGGTGTAATCTTCAGGAAGATACTACTTTCTCCACTGGTATTGACTGCAAATCCAAAAGATCTTACCAATAATGTCACCTTATACAATCCAACAGGTAATACATTCATCTGAAAAAGGACATTAGTGTAGTTTGAATTTAGGATTTTGCAAGTTAGGTTTTTTTTTTTCTATGAGCAATGATTGATGATCTGCAGTGAAGCCAGATCCTATAATGTGAACTATTATGTGTTCAGTATCATCTGAAAATTCAAAGAAAATAACATTAATTTATTACTTCGAGTTATATCAATATAAGACATATAGATATTGCATTACATTAAAATCAACATAAAATACAATATAGTAATATAGCAATGTCACTTAATTTTATATACAGTGCCATAGTGCTCTGGCTGATTTACAATGTCAGCCCTCAACAATCTGGGTCCTCATTTTACCGACCTTGGAAGGATGGAAGGCTGAGTCAACCTTGAGCTGGTCAGAATTGAACTCCTGGCTGTGGGTCGTATTAGCCTGCAATACTGTACTTTTACCACTGTGCAACCAGGGCTCCTTGATATATAGTAATATCATCCTACACACACAAAATTTTGTTAATTGTCACATAACTTTGGTGTTTTCATTTCCAAGCAAATTGCTTGCCAAAAAATCATGAGCACAGAACTACAGTTCCTGAAAGAGGCAATACAGAAATCCATAGGCTAATATTTCTACAACATCTGTCCCATATCACTGGGATAGTTGTTCTTATTTGTCTCTCAAGAAATTTCTCCCTCAGGAACTACTGATTAAATGGACTAAAATCCACAAAAGCTTTTATAGTAATAAATGTTTTAATATGTGAGATGTGACTAGATTCTATTGTTCTATTTGTAATAGATTATTCTTTGAAAATGCCTAGAATCAGGCCATCATAGTTTAACTGTCCTCTTGACTCTTCCTTTGTGTCTTAACATCTACTGGTGTCTGTACAACCAGAACTAGTGGCAGGTCATTTGATGGCTAAGCCCAAGTTCCTGTAACCATCTTTTCAGGAAAGCTTTTTCACTTCCTTGCTTCCAGCTCCTTCAGTTTGGTAAACACCTTCATTTTTAAGAGGACCTTAGTTGATGAACCTGCTCTGGTTCTTATCAAACTTTGCTAATTTAAAGATTTGTATTGCGCCTGAAGCATTCCTCTGCTGTTTTTTGTTTGTTTTATATTTTGCAGTGTTTTACATTGCTGCAAATTATATTATACGTTTTTATATTTCTGCTTTCAGTTACTTAGAATCATGATGGATAGGCAAGATCTAAAGCACCCCCAAGAGTTGGGAGAATTTGTTGAGCCCCAAGAAAAAGCGTTTTGTTCCCATTGATTGAGATCATCTTCAGTCATGCTTCTCAACTAGTGACTGGATACATTAATTTCCTAAAGACCGGCAAGGTTCAGACTTTATTATTCAGTCATTAGTTTAATGAAAAAGTTAGAGATCTTTTGTGCTACTTCACTTTCCCCCTGATACCAGGAAATTCCTATAAACCTTCATGGTAATAATAGTATAGCCATTTGAAGAAGCATTACCTGTTGAATAGTCTACTGACTAAAGGGGTCATTTCCCTGAGATACTGAAAAGTGCATGAGCCAGAACAATTTGCTGGAATGTCATTCATGTTAACGACAACCTGGATTGACAGAAAATAGTATTAATGAAATAATGAATAAAACAACTGAAACCCACTGAACAGTTTCGAATATTAAGACTAATTAAAATCCAAACAATGACAATATTCATTGATTTAAAAATTTGTAACACAAGTAAATAGTTTTGACTGTGAACTAAAAACTTAATATTTTAATGAAGAAAGAAAAGTATTCAGCATAAAACATGAGCAAAATCTAGTACAGAATTCCAAAGGGATGTAGGAAAGGAAGATTCTGACAAGACTAGGAGGTGGCCTATTTGAAATGAATGTGCCAGTCAAATGTTTCCAAGGGCCTTCTGGGTCTTCCAAATACAAAAGAAGCCCATTGGCCTTCTTTCAATGTAGCACCCTTCACAGGCTTGTTTTATCTTGTAAACATTTCAGACCAGGGCTTGCATTAAACTGGTTCTAGAATTGTAGCTGTTTCTGTTACAAGCTTCATTATTTACAAACTGACCTAGATTGGGATCAAATGTTTCATGCCTATTTTCTTTTAATCTTTTTTTTTCCTTTCTGTATGTGTCCGGCAGGGGTGATGGTCAAACTTTATCTTATCTCTAGAGAGTTTGATAGAGATGGTTAGAAAAATCTAGCTTGAACTGGCATGAAAAGAAACTAATTTCGACTAACTTCTTAGGACAGTGGTTCCCAAACTTGGCAACTTTAAGACTTGTGGACTTCAACTCCCAGAATTCTCCAGCCAGCTCTCCCAGAATTCTCCAGCCAGCTCAATTCTGGGAGTTGAAGTCCACAAGTCTTAAAGTTGCCAAGTTGGGAACCACTATCTTAGGAGATACACCAATATTATTTTAATAACACCATGTTTCAAATAAACCACGTAAATAATCAGGTAATTTCCTTTCCAATAGAGGGCCAATGGTTTCTGTTGACATACATAGCCCATTCTTGACCTAACTAGTTTCTCCAACTTTAGGTGAGATTTTGTTGACTTTCTCTCAAAATTACTGAACTTTTGTAATTCAGTTGGATCCAAAAGAAAAGAATCCAGATGTAAAAAACATAAAATTCAAATGCTGAGGTAAATTAACCACAGCATTGCTATTTTTAAAATAGATAGATCACAAATTACCTCAGTGACAGTAAAAAGACAATGAAATGTTTGATCCATTCAGTTATGCCAATAAACAGGTTTCATCTATGACTTTCTAAATCAATATTTTGGCTCATTGGAGCTCTTTCCAGCAGATGGCAATTCCTCAGATTTCTGTCATTTGACTTCTACATCATCTGGAGAGGACCCAGTTGAGATGGTGTTCTACAGACAAATAACCACCGGAGAGTAGCATAATAATCAAACTTTTATTTAAATAAAATGTACTCTCATTGTTCAGTATCTATTTTGTTCCTGCTTGTACTTCACATGGATTATTTCAGGACTAATAATAAGATAAAAATATAAACATTATTATGATCTTCCTCATGCATTTGGGTCTTGTGGGAATTTGTAATTGCTTGAATGTGGGAATCTGTCATTTGCTGTCTCTTTTTCTTCATTCCATTGAAGTGACTGGAGTGAAATCAAGATCCTTTCCCTTCAAAAGTTTTTTTTTAATCCTTCCTACATATATGTATTTATAAATTGCTTTCAAAAAGACATGTCAATTTCATACCTATGTAAAGTTATTGGGGGTAGCAAACATATCTCCAAATATGGGCTCAATGAAAACTCCACCATCAAATGTTAGTGCCTCAGTCCGTCCCTGGAGGAAACGGCTTCTCCAGGGCGGCACCTGGGCACAACAATATCACGTGGGG